GGGGGGGGGGGGAGTTAAAAATTTATTTTATCTCTTATTGTATTCTAATTAAAGGTCTCAACGAAAGGAACCGTTTCCTACCAACTACTGCCCTTCTTTCTGTCCTCTTATCAAAGTACGGGATGGAGGGGGGGGGGTGGAACTAGTTTTATCCTTCATGGTACTCTAATGAAAGGTCTCGACAAAAGGAACCGTTTTGTACCAACTACTGCTCTTCTTTCTGTCCTCTTATCAAAGTCCGGGTTAGAGGGTGAGGGGGAGTGGAACTAGTTTTATTCGGAAATGTCGAGGGCCAGATAACGATGCTGTTTTTACGTTGGTTCCCTATATCGATTGGTCGCGTTCTAGAATCGAAGGGCATTCGAGAGAACGCGCAAGGCGAGGCGGGCGCCGCCGAAGCCGAGCGATGCCTTTTTTTTGTGTCTCAATGTGCGGGGTGAAGTCGAGCAACCTGTCAACGATTCTATGCAAGCAATTCTATACAAACTACGTTAGGGTTTGACGTTAATCCCCCCCCCCCCCCCCATTGGATACAGAAGGCACTTTTATCATATTTTGCTGTTTATTCGGGAACGATGCGATTTTTGACAGAATTCACTTCTTCATATTTTGACGTTTATTCGCAGACGCTAAGGGTTAGAACGAAGACATTGGTCTCCTATCGATGGCGATTTGAGTACATGTGCGAGGCGAGGCGGCGCAGTCGCAAAACGCAACTTTCTTATTTATGGAGCGATTTGCACGAAATTTTGGTGTTAGGTGCTTCTAACAAAAGTAAATAAAATGCACTTTTCAAAAATCGTACTGCGGCGGTATTTATGAGAAATAAACTCACTCTAGCGGAGATTTAAACTGCAAAGCATTTTGACCAACCTATACGGTGACATTGGCTAAAGAAGAGCTCCCAAATATATTGGTCCTTTTTGAGCCGAATCAAATTTTTCCGTTTTTTTGTCTTTTAGAATACGACACACAAATGTCCGTCATTGCACCGAATTCTCCTCGCCATACCGATCTAGTTTCGCTTAAAAAACAATAGAGTAACAAAATTTTGGAGAATCCTTATAATACTAAAAAAATGCACAACGGGAATCTCAATTCTAAACCCTTAGTTTGAGAAAACTACCCTAATAAAACCTTTCCAACTGCCAAACTTGAATTAAAATCTCCCCTGCACCCATGTGTCCTAATTATCTCACAATTTCAAAAAAATTGTGATACGCTACCGGCCTCCCGTTACAATCTCAAAACCGTTGAAGAATTTCCAAAAACTGTTGCAGCATTCGGAAACGTCGGCTACGTGTGCGACGACAAATTTGGGTTGAGGAACGCGGAGGTCGTCTGCAAGGAGTTGGGATTTCCGCTGGGCGCGCTCGAGGTCAAGGGGAACTCGTACTACGCCCAAGATTTGGACGACGACGTATTTTACATGATGGATGACGTCATATGCCTCGGAAACGAGACGAGCTTGCGCGATTGCGACTTTAACGGGTGGGGAATCAGCAACTGCGAGGCGCAGGAGGTAACGTCGGCGGCGTTTCGTAACTTCCTTAACGTTGTGGCTTAGGTTGTGGGCGTCGTCTGTAAAACGCCGCAAGAGAACTGTCCCAAGGATCACTGGAAGTGCGACAGCGTCCAGGAATGTCTTCCGCTTTCGTTCGTCTGCGATGGTGTTAACGACTGCACGGACGAGTCGGACGAGGCCTCGCAAAATTGCGACGCCCCAACCGAATTGCGGCTCGCGGACGGCAAGACGAAGTACGAGGGTCGAGTGGAGGTGCGTTACCACGGCATATGGGGAACCGTCTGTGATGACGACTTTAATGAGGACGCCGCGAAAGTCGTGTGCAAATATCTCGGATACCCGGGGAAGGCGGTTGTCAAAAAGGATGGCACTTTCGGACCAGGTAAAAATCACTAACTTCCGGTAACACAATAAACTAACTAGCATAGTGTGCATTTATGTGTTATTTTTTATATGTCCCTAAGGCAGTTTGCAAGATCGTGTGACAATATTCAAGAACTATAAACAAAATTTTTTTCACAGCATTTTTTCTTTTTTATTTTTTCTTTTGTTTTTCTTTGTCTTTTTTATTTTAATACTCTTAACATTTTTTTTTAAATATTTTTTTTAATAGTGTTGGTAGTGTGCACTTATGTGTTATTTTTTATATGTCCCTAAGGCAGTTTGCAAGATCGTTTGACAATATTCAAGAACTGTAAAAAAAATTTTTTTCACATTTTTTCTTTTTTATTTTTTGTTTTGTTTTCCTTTGTCTTTTTTATTTTAATACTCAACCTATTTTTTAAAATATTTTTTTTAATAGTGTGAAGTGTGCATTTATGTGTTATTTTTTATATGTCCCTAAGGCAGTTTGCAAGATCGTGTGACAATATTTAAGAACTATAAAAAAAATTTTTTTTCACAGCATTTTTTCTTTTTTCTTTTGTTTTCCTTTGTCTTTTTTATTTTAATACTCTTAACATATTTTTTTTTAATATTCATTATAATTTCGAATAGTTTTTTTTTTTAATTAATACATGAACATTGTTATTGGGGCAACCTGTTATGTTCATAGATAAATAAATAAATAAACAATTGCAGGTACCGGACCAATATGGTTAGACCAAGTCTTCTGTCAAGGCAATGAGAGCGCTCTCCAGCACTGCGTGCATTGGAACTGGGGCGAGCACAATTGCGAGCACACCGAAGATGTCGGGGTCGCGTGCAGCAACATCGCCCCTGACTTTCCAGGTGAGTTACAAGTCGCGAACGCCTTGCCTTATTCCCAGTCTAAGAAGTTGTAGAGTCGGAGCGGAACGCGCATGTTGAAAACCTACCCGAAAACGTTTTCATGGACCAGTGCGGGTTGAGAAAGGATGCGATGTTCCTGGCCGAGAGCGAAGTCCACTTTCGCGTAATCGGAGGAGCGGTGGCGACTCGTGGCGACTATCCATGGCAGGTACGTTCGCCCCACACGTTTTGGCACGCCTTCAGTAACCTTTCAGGCCAGTCTCCGCATCAAAAACCAATCAAAAATGACTCACTGGTGCGGCGCAATAGTGATCTCGAAGAAATTCATCCTCACGGCCGCACACTGCCTGCAAGGTTTTTCGAAGGGGGCGTACATGGTTGTGGCCGGCGATTACAATACGGACGAGGACGAGGGAACAGAGCAGGAGGCCTTCATCGAGGAATTCTACATTCACGAAGATTTCCGAAAGGGCCAAAAGATGAACAACGACGTCGCTATAATCAAGCTGAAAGGCGACGGATTTAGGCTCACCCGTGACGTACAACCCATCTGCATGCCCGACAAGGACATCGTGTATGAAACCGGACTTAACTGCACGATTTCCGGTTTCGGGACGATCCAGAGCGGAAAGTCGCGTAAGTGCCTCTAGAAAAAAGCCCGACACGCTTCAATTGCGCTTTCCAGTGTACTCGCACGACATGCGTGCCGCGTGGATACCGCTGATCGACCAGGAGGTGTGCCGGATGCCGCACGTGTACGGAAGTACGATTACAGAGGGCATGTTCTGCGCCGGGACACTAAACGAGGGCGCCGATGCTTGTGAGGGCGATAGTGGCGGCCCCCTGGCGTGCCTTCACGACGGTAATGCCCCGATAGCTTTCGGTGACCATGCAGTAATGGCGTAATTTCAGGTTATTATACCTTGTATGGAATTGTGTCGTGGGGACACCATTGCGGTCACGCGAACAAGCCTGGAGTTTACGTTCGAGTTGCCAAGTACCGTAAATGGATTGATGACACCATTTTAAAGCATATTTAAGTGACATGACATGTACAAATTTATGTTTAAAAAGTAGATTGTAATTCCGTAATTAAAAGCGAACCACGCTAACTCTGCGATCTAAATTTTCGTAACCGCAAAACTCAGCGTTCTGCTGCCTGCCTTACTCCTTTTACTTCGCTATTTATATTTCCGAGTGGAAAAACCGAAACGGACCCAACGCAAATATTGCGACCGCGTCCACTCTCGACCAATTGCTAACCCGCATTTTCGTTATTTCGACTGTACCTTAGACCATATAGTACATGGACTGCTATTCGCCCTATGCTTTCAATACAAAATGGATGGTCACGGATAGAGGGCACTGTAGTCGTGGGTATGTGAATCTCAGGGTAAACTAAAGTCGTGTAAACACCACTAGGATCGCTTAAAGAACAGCTTTATAGTAACCGCGTAGTACGCGAAGCTTTAAATACTCTTTATTATTTGCTATACGTCCACAAATAAGAATAAGTTTGCTTTTTTTGGGATATCTAGGCGATTCATTAATTGACGTTTGTTAATTTATAGGTTGACAGTCTCAAATCGTGTCTCATCGGACAACTTCGGACAGACTCGTTTACCCTGAAACTCACATACCCAGGCGATGTCCTTGACCATATTTTAGTTACAATTAGCAGTCCATGTACTATATGGTCTAAGGACTGTACTCGGAACGAACGACGATTCGCGGCTATCTCGGTAAAAACCTACGCTTTTTTAAAACGCATCTGCTATCGCTTTTAAACCTACTCGCGCCTACTACTCGTATAAAGCGGTACATATGCACTTTAACAAGGACGTTAAAAATACCTAGACGCGGCATTCTCTATCTACTACATGCAGTAAAACTGAACCCAACATGTATTTAGGCGCGGGTGTGAAGGAGGAATGACAGTTGGTGGGGTGGAGGCATCCACCAACAGTGGCGTTCCCGTTTAAATTCTTCGTAAATCTATAAAATGAGAACGTAAATAACCTACGCCACTGGCCCCAATAACAAACATAAGAGAAATATAACCTCAAAAAAAGTACTTACGCGTGAAATGATATTACTTTCGTTCGTTTATCATATACTTTGCACACTTCACAACGCCGCACCATGATATAATTGTCTACAAATTCGCCTATTAGAAATTAAAACCAAATTTACGTAACAAACGAGTTTACACGATCCTGCATCGTTGTTTACACGACCAACCTGTGGAAAACAATGCGTGGGATGTTGGCTTCACAACAAATGGCACAATGCCGCGTCCAGGTATTTTTAACGTCCTTGACTTTTACACATACATTAAAAATTCCAAAAATTTAACCGGCTGAAATCGTCTTGAAACCTTCACTTTGATGCCTATTTTTTGACAGGAAATTTTTTCAATGACGGTGGCAGTAATACTTTACTTGGCTTTGTCGTCACTTTATCAGATACTGTGTAAATAACTACCTACAACGCTTCACGTCCGCCATGTTGTAGTGTACTTAACCCCCAGGTTCTACGCTAACTTCACACTACAAGAACACGGAAATAAAGTCAACCCGGCAACGTTTAAAAATGGCCACCCGAATGAAGATCCCCTCCAAAATTAAACAAGATCCCGCTTAAATTTGAAATGTGGCACGTGATCAAACATCTGAGGCAGGACCCCCTTTCGTTAGTTGTAGACAACGCTATGACCTGAAGCACAGTAGGGAAGGAACGTAAAATAAAACACTCAAATTGTGAAAAGTTTGTTTAATAATGATCGCAATTATAAAGATTGTGAAAGCTCGGAAATTTAAGTCGAAATAAATTACATTGCAAAAATAAACTTTAAAAATGGTAGTTCACCGAATAAAAATAAAAGTAGGCTGGGAAAAAAAGAACTTACCAATAAAAAAACCAGCCGTCAAATTAATATCAAATTGTGTCGTAAAATTAATTGTTTGTAATGGTGTGAATGCGTAACATAAAATTATAACATCACAAAAAGTAGCAAGTAAACTTCAAGAGGTAACATATAGGTTAAAAACAAGTTTTGGGAATTATGGGTCAGGTAAGCAGGTACCAAGATTCTAAGAAAGGGTGAAATACACAGGATGTGACTCATCTTTGGTGCAATAAAGTCCTTTTGTTAAAACGCATGATGGAAAATTACATGGGCTTGTAGGCAAATTTAACTAAAAACAAGATATGTGGAAATTATTGAATCGCCACTCATTTATCGCACATAGATTCTAAACTGAAGAGCTTTGATTAGCGTAATCCCGCTCCTGCAAGATAGGTAACCCGCCCCTGGTTTCGGGGTTTCGAGCCTACAGTTGAATGTCGAAGGCAATCACGGAATTAGGTGTCGTACTTCAGACGGTTACAGTTTTTACCACCCCCGTGACTGCTTCATTCACGGAAAAAATTGTTAGTTACAAATGACAAGTCAGTACATACATCAAACGAATCGGTAATTTCCACATATTAAAATAAAATGAAAACTTACATGTAGTAATCAACATCAATAAACATAAATTAAGCAAGCATTACACCAAAAACGTAAACAATTATAAACAAAAGGATAACGGTATTAAAGATTTCATTCTGCATTGCGGTTAAACCAAGTAAATTTCAAAAACAAAGATTGAAACGCACAAAAAAATATAAAATGTGACACACAAAAGACAAATACGATATAAAGAAATGCAAAAATTACTACCTGCATTAAATAACACAAAATAACAACAAACATTTATGGAGCGACGCATTCGTGATCCACGTAACCCTCGTTCGTGCTTTTTAGATGGCGCAGGCAGCTTTTTCCCTACCAAGAAATTGCATGGTTGCCAACTCTCAAAACTCGTCGTAAGTTGTATTATATACAGGGTGGAACCTCTCAATATAATTTTAAAAAACACACATACTATGAGTTAGTGCTGTTTGGTGCTCGAACGTACTACTCTTTTAGAAGTAGACATATGGATTCCCTGTGTCTACTTTTAAATCACAAAAATCCTTGTTCTAATTTTATGCAACCAAAATAACATGCGCACGCATTCTAGATTCTTATAAAGACGACAGTAAATGGTATGCTTTTAGGTTATGATGAAGAGAAATTGAATTCGGCCGCTATTCCTCTTAAGTTTCTTATCGGAAACGCAAAATCTTTATTTGTTTTAAGAAGTTATTTTAGTTGCATAAAATTAGGCGTCCTTCAGAAGAGTTTTTGTCATTTAAAACTAGACATAGGAAATCACTATGTCTAGGTACTTCTAAATGTATATCACTGTATCATATACATAATATACGGAAATAAACCGTACAAAATATTAGAAAATATTGAATGACTATCCATAGATCTTGATTGAGCAGATATTCAGAGTATGGTCGTTAATCAGTTTGGTCTCTTCAAGATTAATCCAATTTTAACCAAAGTAATTGAATAAGCACTTTAAAGAAGTATAACTACTTAGCAAAACTTGAAATTGGTGTAAGGTGTGTTGCATACACTGTAAAGTTAATAATTAATTAATAATTAATAAATTGTATGGACCCTTTGTGTTCCTTGTTTATCACAGTTGAACACTGTTGTTAAAGGTTTCTTTGTTATATCAAAAACTAGCTTTAGTTTATTGTATGCTTTGCACCGAATATGTCAGTATTGTCACTCCGTTTGATGGAAGCGATAGTAATTGCATCCATTTTTTTATTTAGTTGTCTGTATATAATAATACATGACATTGAAATGTGCTGATCTGGCAACGTTGGAATTTTAAAGAGGTAAAGAAACCTGCAAAGTCGGTAATTAACTTTCGATTTTCTTGGAAGTATAACACTTTAGACTCGCAATATTTCAGCACCAAATAACACTAACGATGGAGCGTGTGGTTTTCAAAAACAGATGTCAGGGGTGGGGCCAACTTCAAACCATATTTTAGTTTGTTTTAGTTTTTCTGGGAAAGATGAAATGCTTGAATCGCAATTTGCGAGCACAAAAGAGCACTAACGCAGCACTCTCGACACATTTTTGTCAAATTATTTCATGTAGGCGGGACCAACTTTACACGGCTATGTGGCTGAGTGGTAGAGCGTTGGGCTACATAGCCGGAGGTCGGGTGTTCGAATCTGGGTTGAGGTAAGAATTTTTCATCTGTGGCAGAGAGGGAGAGGGAATAAATAAATAAATACATAAATAAATACATAATTACATAAAAAAGTAAATAAAGGTAGTAGGCTTAACCAGCATTTTCTGTGGGACAGCGACTTCTTCGACACTACCGGGCAATGGTCCAATAACGGGGTGATAGCAATTCTTCGCCGATCGCAGCATGGTGCGTCTCCCTGTTGTCACTGTGGCCATCTGTGGCAACAAGGCGACGGAGTTCTTCATATTTTTGTTTGATGTAGTCAATGTTCTCATTCATTTGAGTTTTTACCATTTCTACCTTGCCGCCCACATCGGAAATTCGGTCTTGAATTTTACCTTCATTTTATTTTTCACTCGTTGGTTAAAACATCCCTTATCGTCTTGTATAATAAATAACTACTATTATTCAATGTCTGGAGCGAAATAAGAGAAATGCCCACACAACACACCGACGGACATTAAACGTCGCCATTGTATGTACAGGTTGGCTAAATAAGAATGCGAGGTACTGTATCTGGGAACCTGTCCATCGTAAAGGCTTGCGGTAAAAAAAGTTATTACCAAAACGGCCGCAAGAAAAACCTGGAAAATATTTTTAAGTTTCTGAAGTGGCCGCTAGGGGGCGTAACTGCAATCTGGAATCTAAAAATTTGACGTTTCTGTGAATTCCGATATATTAACCGAACAAAAAAATGCCCAGTCTTTGAAGTCGACGATAATCTGAATCTTTTTTGTTTGACAATTATTGCTGTATCTCTAAAAATGAAGTGGTGAGGGGGGATTCAAAGGTTTCCGTAAAGAACACTCTGTATCTTCGAAACGGCTGAGCCGATTTAAACATACTCGGGTTAGCTCAAAAGAAGGATATTTGAAGTTTTTTTAGTTTCACATATCACCGCTTGAGGGCTTTTTTTCCGACAGAAATGGTTAATTTTCTCAAAAAAATTAAATGCATTGATTCGATTTTTGCTTTTCATGAAAAAGTAGCTAAATGATGCCTAAACAAGCTCGCGAAAACCGCATCTTCATTCAATATTAAATAAAATTAGATCTTAAGCCCTAATATTTGTTCAGAGCCCCAGTGCCATGTAATTGGAATTTTTATTCTGTATGGTTTCTGGTTAAATAAATAAATAAATAAATAAATAAATCTCGATATCTTGTTCCTAACCTAAAATTTAGGCCAAAGAAAATTTAATACCCTCAAATTTTTAATTTTTTAAGCTAATTTTTCCGGAATTATTTGTAACTGAAGAATACCTCTGTTGAACTAACCCGAGTTTGTTTAAATCGGTTCAGCAGTTTCGAAGATACAGGGTGTTCTTTACGGAACCCTTTGAATCCCCCCCCCCCCCCCCCCGCGACACTTCATTTTTAGAGATAAAGCAATAATTGTCAAACAAAAAAGGTTCAGATTATCGTCATTATCATTTTTTTGTTAGGTTAATTCACAGAAACATCACTTTTTTAGATTCCAGATTGCAGTTACGCCCCCTAGCGGCCATTTCAGAAACTTTTCCAGGTTTTTCTCGTGGCTGTTTTAGTAATAACTTTTTTTACCGCAAGCCTCTACGATGGATAGGTTCTAAGATACAGTGCCTCGCATTCTTAGTTGGCCACCCTGTATATATATGAACTTTCTGTACCAACATAGTACAGTACGTACCTACGCGAATACACAGAACTTGTACATTGAACGTCCACTGTAGGTCCAACTCTCAACGATATGGACAGTATGTTCGTACATACTGTACGTCTCTCGGTACGCCCTATGGACGTTTGTTACCAGTCGTTTTATAGCAACAATAACAATAAAACAGCTACTTTGAGAGCGATATCTATTCAAAAACAAGTGGGATATAAAGTAATGTAAGTAGATAACAAAATATTCACTTCCTCTACTTTGCTCTTTTGAGCCATTTAAAAATTGCTTTTTTGGAAACTGTCTTAATTGGGAAATGTCCATTGGACGTACATTATAATTATTTTATGGACCACCTGTTAAATATTCCATAAGAGAATCATCGGACGTCCACTGTACGTACACTTTTGTTACATGGACGTCGTGGCCTAAAATGGATCAAATATGAACGTCCACTGTAAGGACTGTGTTGTGTGGGAGGAAGGTAATAAATGAAACTAAATTAGAGCTCAAACTTTATTTTTGCCTTCTTGGGACTTGAGATTCATTAGTTCCTTAAACAACTGCGGGCCAAATTGATCTTCAGTGTCTAACAGATTCACTGCCATCGGCAAAGGTTTATTACTTCAGTCTATGCAAAAAGGGCTGTTACACACTTGAACCATTTCTGCACTTTTCCCTAAAGTATCTTACATATCTAAGACCGACTAAAAATAGTACTATAAGAATCATTATAATTACTAGTACATACAGTGCGAGCATTTCATGCCTAAAGTTGTTTAAGAGTACAGTTAGATCTTTATCATAATCTCTTAACGAGTGAGTAAAATTAGAGTGACCGCTGAAATTTGAAACGGCTGTGGGATAATTAACAGTGGGTACTATATCTTTGCCAGAAAATTCAAATGGGTACGAAGCACTAGCTTGGGTTGATGATGAGTGTGTTCCCCTACCCAAGTTTAAGTCTTGGGTTGAGTTGATTTTGGGCTCTTTTCTAGGGCAGCTCAAGTTGATGGAGGGGTCGCGATCGATTCCCCTCAACAGTGTGCAGTTCCACACATTCTCAGATAACCCAAAGTTCACAGTGTACTGGGAGTAGCTTATAATTTCGCATGGGTCCATGCACGTCAATTGGTTATTTGAGAGGTTCAAAAACCTCAAATTTTCTTGGGTGGAGAATGTCGATTCTTCGAGTTTCGTCAGATGGTTGTGCGATAGATCGACGTTTGCCAAATTTGTTAGGTTATAAAAAATCGACTCCTCCAAGTTTTTGAGGTTGTTATACGAAAGGTCCAACAGAAAAAGCGCACCCAGATCGCGGAAACAATCCGGCTGTACTTCCTGGATGCGATTCTTTCTTAAGTAGAGATGACTTAAGGAAACAAGGCCATGAAGGTCGCTGATTTGTTCGAGTCGGTTATCACTCAACTCGAGCACTTGCAAACTGCTCAAGCTCTCAAAGCATTCGTTGGTTATGTTTTTGAGGAGGTTAGCTTGCAAGTATAAGTGGGTGAGTTGGGACAGGTCTGTGAAGCTACCGTTACCAATGTGCTGTATTCTGTTGTGGTGCAGCTTGAGTTCGACTAACTGGGATAAACCAAAAAAGTCGGTTTCCTGAATTGAGCCGATTAAATTACTTGACAAATCCAAATTTGTTAATCCGCTCGAGTGCTTAGTTCCACCAGAAAAATTGGTAAAAATACCTTCGCCAAGGCTGGTGATCCGATTTTTCGAAAGGTCAAGCTTTGCCAGTGACGGAAGCATTTTAAACTGCCCATTTTCGAGGGAGGTCAATTCGTTATTCCGCAAAATTAAGGTTTCTAACTTCTTTGTTCCAGCAAAATTTTGCTCTCGGAGATGGGTAATTCGATTGTTGGCCAGGTTCAAGCTAGTTAAGTTCGGCAGTCCATGTAAGACCCCGTCCACGATTTGGCTCAAATTGTTATACTCCAAATTCAAGTCTGTTACTGGCAGAAAGACAGATACACCTTTAGCTAAGTTTTTTACTTTGTGAACTTGGCTGTTCTGTAAGAAGTACAAGTAGTTATTAACGCTAGCTATCCCCGCAAACCAAACCAGTTGATTTTGAGACAAATCCAATACCAGTAACGACTCCAGATCTTCAAAGGCATAAGCCGATAACACCCTAATCTTGTTCTTGGCCAAATGCAATTGTGACAATTTGGCGAGACCTTTAAAATAACCAAAAATCGCAGTCAGTGAATTGTTGGACAAGTACAACTCCTCCAACGCAGTTAAATTATTAAAGCTCTCTCTGGCGATTTCACTTATGTTATTGGACCGTAAGTTCAGAACCCGAAGTTTACTCATCCCACTGAAAAAGTCACTCTTGAGCTCCGCCAAATGGTTATTCTCCAAATTTAGTTCGGTTAAATTTTCAGCTGAGCGAGATGGTTCGGAATTTGGAAATATTTCGTTCGTGGTAACGATCTCACGAATATTATTTCCGTGCAGGTTGAGATGAAGCATGTTCCGCATAGATGGCCAGTTAGTGACGGTCACTATTTCGTTACCGGCCAAGTCCAGTACTTGCAAACTCGATGGAAAATTAGCCAAATCGAGCGAATTGTTGAGTTTCGAAAACGTTTCCATAGCAATTGGGTCTCCGGGAAGATTGGAGACAAATGCGAACAGCGCCGACTGCACGGTCTGGATCTTATTCCGATCTAGCAGTAAAAGTCGCAAGTCGATTAGACCAACGAACGCGTCCACTTCCACAGTTTCAATCTGGTTCTGTGAAAGCTTCAACAGCTTTAACGATTTCAGGCCGAAAAAACTCATGTTCTCGAGTCTAGTTAAATTATTCTGCTCCAAATGCAATTCTTCCAGGACCGTTAAATGGGAGAACGCTTCGGACATTACTTGCTTTACACCGCTGTTATTTACGTATAACTGTCGTAGATGTGGAAACTCCGCGAAAACGTTACGGGGTAATACATTGAGCCGACTGTCCGCAAAAACGATCGATTTTATCCCAGATTTGTCAATTATTGGGGTTGTATCCAGCGCATCTCCAGCTTTGAACTCTACGACGTCGCATTTGAGGTACGTGTCACTTTGGTTGCAATTGTGACTTATGACTTCATGTCCAAGGAGTAGAACGGCGATGACAGCGATTTTTCCTCCCTGAAAAACAATAACTTTGTTTATTTTCGGTAATACAAATGGTAAAAGCAAGAAAGGGAGTTAAATTTATTTTTATCATGAGATTGTATTAGGTTAAAAGACGCAACGTTATAGAGTTCATAGGTGGAATTGACTTGCGTGGGGAGACGCGAGTGAAGACCAGGCTACAGAAGGCAATTAGAAAGCGCACGGGCGTTCCAGGATAGTCCAATAGGTGTTTAATACATTGAAAAATCAAATAATCAACTAAGAACGAATTTTTCGTAGAAGAAAATAATCTGAACAAACTGTGGTCAACCGCTACCAAACTCGATGAGGGTTATATCGAAGGACAGACTCGTAGACTTACAAAATTATCGTTTTCTACCACAGAACCGAAGATCAAGTGTTCCCGAATAATCCAAAGTTTAAAGTGGCAATTCTGGCCTCTCTGTCAGCTGCAGTGAAATGGTATGCGGTTTACAAAACCGCAAATTTTAGACACAAATTCTGATCTTACTGACAGCTGAACTTTGAGAACTATCCTAAACCTGGCCATTTCTCTGAAATGCTGCACTAAAATGATATAATTAAAATATAACGTTAGCTGCTCGCATATTTGGTCAAATTTAATTATAATTGCAAATTTTGACGTTAGCCCAACGCATAATTTGGCAAGGGCTACATTTTGATAAATAATATATGAAACATAAATACATCAAACGAGCTTCTGGGTATGCTTATAGCTTCACATTGCGTATTATATGGCCAAACTTTGAATTTTACGCAATTCGGTCATAACTAAAGGAGATGTCAAAAAGGCCTCTCTAATTTTTTTACATTCAGTGCCAATTGAAGGACTCTGATTGACAAATTTGATAAAGAATTCACCTGAAAAATTTCATCGTAATCGGCCCATTCGTTTTTGAGATATCGTACTGACCGACGACGTACAGACGGACAGATACAGCGAAATTATGAACCCGCTAGGAGTTTTATCCTTAGTTAAGTCATGTCCCCATTCAACGCCATCGGAGGTCGCATTTAAGCATTTAATTATTGTGGATATTGAATTAATCAATGCTCAGTGAAAAGATATAACCTTTCAGTACCGTGAGCTTCAAACATAATTACCAGTGCAAACAAAACTAACTTCTTAAACCTATTTCTGCAATCGCGTATCTATTACCAACTGAACTCTCTGGAGCCCTACGCCTTTTCTTTATGAGTAAATATCCGCTCTATATTTTTGCCACTTATGATTTATTGGAATGTGAAAGAAAAATTAATTGAACTATTCTTAACAATTTTAGTCTGACCTATTCTGGAAGTAATAGCACGAAAGGCAGTGTAACGGGAACCTGGGGTTGATTTTTTTTAAATTTCGTTAGGGTTGCGCTGTTTTAGGTTTTGAGTATTAAGGAATATACGGGGTGTTCAAATTGTATTAATTCAACATTTTTGAAAGTCCGTAGGTAAAAAGTTGACGATCTTTAATTCTACGTGTCGCTGGTTTCTGTGTGCCTTTGACCTGTTAATGGGTTTAGAAAGTTATTGGACATTGAGTGTAGATAAGATTAACTTAATGGGGTTTACGTGCCCAAAATTGCGCAGTCAGAGTTCAAGTCCGATAAATCAGCGATGCTCGTCGATTTGATTTATAAACAAAAGCTCCAGTTCCTCAGCAAAGGACTATAACGCATCAAGCTTCCGCTTATCGCTTTGGCGTGCAAATACCTAGGTCATAGGATCATGCAACGTTGTGCGTTTAGTAGGAATTTGAAAACGGAAAAGACCTCCTTCCGCCACGGTCTCGAGTTCAATTTCAAAGGCGCATTTTCTCGAATCCTAATTAGAGGACAAGCCAGTATTTCCAAAGTTGGACGACTAGAGGGTACTGTAGACGTCTTATAGGATTTTAATTAGTACAATTTTCCAGCTGAAAGATGACACAGGACGGAGCAGGCACTTGGTGGTCTGCTCAGTTTATTTCCCGTACGACTCGGAAGAGGCTCCACCTACCAGGGAGCTGGCTGAGTTGACAGTGTACTATCGAAATGGTGGGCTCACTCTTGTGGTTGGGCGGACACTATGTCGCGAGGCGCAGCACGGGTACGAACTCGAGGGGCGACCACCTACTGGAGTACTTGTAAATAACTGATTCGAACATTTCGGAATCCCGGATCTATATATAGCGTTGGGGGGGGGGGGGGCTTCCTTTGCTCTATCGAAAAGCAGGGCAGGTGGAAGGGGCGGTTGCATTAGTAAGCGACGCCATAACAGTGTCACATGATGACAGCAGCAAACTGCGGACCTTTCGAGGAACGTTCGCAGGCTCCTTAATAAGGCCTTACGCTTATACGCCTTATATACCTAATTATAACAGATGAATAATCAAATTATGCATGATAATACATAAAAACAAATAATGAACAACAAATTAAAAAATTCGCTGGCTTAGAGATACGACGGAAAATCAAAAACTTGTCAATTTATATTTTGTGAGTTGAGACCCCCCAACCTTAGCAACGTCCTGTGAATATGATTGTCGATACGAAGCACCCTATACATCATGTTAGTTACACAAGCTGCCAACCGAAATCTGGTGGGATTACAGAAAAGGGAAAGAGAGCGAAGATGAGACGGATGGAATTTCTCGGAAGGCCACATGTGTTTACCATTTCAAACACCTGCAGTCCAGTTTTTTTCGGGCGGTTTTTAGAGGTATTAGCAGATCAAATTACAGCGTGGCTTGGGGTGGTCAATAAATAGGATTTAACATGTGTGTTCATGGTCTTATACTTGTAACCGGCTTAAGCGTAAAGAACGGCTTATCTTGAAATATTTTGTTATATCTTAATCATTGCTGTGTGCTTTTGCTTTTTATATCAAGTGAGGTATTTGCTTTATTCAATTAATCTATAAATGTGTGTAACCTGAATGCAGATTGTAACCCTCTACTTATGTACTTACTGGATTCAATCACTTGTACCTTTTAATGTGTAACCTTTCTTGGTATTGGCAATCATGTTTCATTGTCGGTAGGGCTGTACATATTTGTATGTGTACATATTTGTGTATTGTGCTTTTTAGTCACTCTCGATTATTTCATTGCATTTCATTATATTTGCTTATTTGGGGCTGTGAGTAATTAAGAGGGAAGTGTGTTTGTTTAGAGGAAATCGAGCTATTCAAGTTTATACGGGCCTTGGTGAACCTAACACTAACATTTTCACTCGTTCCGAACCCAACAACTTTAGCCCACGTCTTCAGGCACCCCACTGGGCCTGGGTACTCCTCCCGCCCGGCGAGGTATATTTGACATCTCTTAGTATTATCTGATGTATGTGGGGTAATACCTGGGGAATGACTCGATTCCATTTTGGTTACTCGTATTGTGTTTGTAGTAGTTAACCCGGATTCGAAAGGGCTCAAAAGTGCTGTACATTGGATGTTGTTGATTATAGGACTACTTCGAATTAGGTTTTCCTGCAGTTTTCCTAATTCGTAAGGTAAATGCCGGAGTAGTATAGAACCACATAACACCCTCTGCAGTAGCGCCGCTAAAAACCATTATGCGGGTCACTCTGTAATCGTATTGGTATTAGATTCAATATAAACTTTATCAGCTATTGCTTTTGGTGTTCCTTACCCATAAAACGCCCTCAGTGCCTGTTTAGAACTCAGTTACTACACAACGTAGGTGTCCTACATGACGATCACGATCTTAGTGCACTTGGAGTGGCCCCCGAGTGACAGATTCTCGCGGGAAATGTAAGCGAGAATATTCAAATAAGCAGCCATGTTAGTTTAACATTCCAATACTACAGAACATGGTCAAATATTCCGGTGTGACTTGAAGTTATCGAGCCTAACCTGTTTTTTTTAAATATTAAATTAAGATTACATATATTAAATTCTTTTTTCAAAAATATAACAAATGATATTCAAAAAAGGACTTAAGAGATTCAAAAAATATAAAAAGGTATTAGAATATTTTGTTAAAATCATTTTTGAATCTTTTTGAATCAACATTGAATTTTAAGGATTTATTCCATTTGACTTTTCCACACAGTAGAAATACTATGGATGTCGGTAAATTACGCTAATTGCATAGTATTCTTAAAATAATTATGCGATATTTTCTAACACTTCCGGTTTGTCGTTACTTTGACCTCCCTGGATTTTTATTTCAGTTACTCCCTATGGTGTATAGTATATACGATCTAGGGAATTTAACCAGGTTTTAGAAAAAAATAAGTAGACGTAATGTATTATTAAATCAATCAATCAATTATTCATTTTTTGTTTATGCACTTCGTTCATTATTGAAGATTGTATTCATCAATTCAAAAAAGCGTGAGTAAGTACCTACTTACGTTATGTTTACACAAGCGAAAGAAATGAAAAAAGAAGCGCGTCTATACTTAATATATACTTGGGTGCTTTTGACTTAATTTGAAAGTATAAAATTGCGATTGTATAATTAGACTAATTGACTAACTATTATTAGCTAGGTACCTACATACCATTATAAACACTACACCACACATGCAATGCAAAAGTTTTATCTATGCTCCTATTAAATATCCTACCTAAACTATAAAATGTGGCCTGTGGGAAAACCATAATCGTGATATGGTCACTGGGATTATTGCATTAGTGTTCACTTTGTTACTGGGATTATTTATCGCGCCGTATCAGTGACGCATCCTCTTTTTAACCTTACCTTAACACAATTCCGTTGAAAAAACACGCATATGGTCCTTGTGAAGTATTCGAGTCACTTTTTACTGTTGGATCTGTAACGTGCCTAGGACAGCGTCGACGGACTGCGCATCGTCTTATATTCAAAGGCACCGTAGACATGCTCGTATAATAATCGCAAACAAAATATAGCGTCGATCGACTTCACAAAGTGACATATAGTTCATCTGACCGAATAACAATGAACAAAATAAAGTACTACCGCAACTGTTAAGCGATTCTAGGTCGTATCGCTTACGTCAAAGAATGTTAATTGAGGTGAATTTCGCTTCCATCCATTTTTTAGGACTGCAGTTTAATTGGCATCAGGTAGGCGTAAACAAGATTAGTGTAAACAAAAACTGGATGCAAGCGAAAATCACCTCAATTAACATTCTTTGACGTAAGCGATACGACCTAGAATCGCTTAACAGTTGCGGTAGTACTTTATTTTGTTCATTCTTGTTCAGCACGTCAACGATAACGCGCTGCAGTTTGTTTTAGACTTTTAGAGAATTGTTTATGTTTAATCGACGACGTGAAGTAAAAAAAGTGCATTTATTGGGGATAATTACATATCGGAATAGTAATAACAAATGGACTATACTGTAGTGTACCCAGGCCAGCCCCGCGGGACTGCGCAACTCAAGATTTAAAATTCAAAACTTTCCCTCCCAAACTAACTGAACCCCATGGCACGTGATCGTCTAGACAAAGCTACCTAACCTGAATAACCGAATAATAGGACCATCTTACTACATTGTGTTTTTAATAGTCGCTACAAGATATGTGTTGTCTGTCGGAGTTAGGATCAAGTAAGGAAAACAAATAAAACAAGTACATGCTTTTAAAAACGGAGATTCAATCCAAATACTTCGCATTGCATGATTAAATTTAGAAAATGGTAGTTCACCGAGTACAAATAGAACAATAGGCTGGGAAAAAAGAACTGACCAAGAAAAAACCCAGCCAACAAATTAATATTGAACTTTATAGCAAAATAAGTTTTCTGTAAGGGCATGAATGCATATCATGATGGTTGTCAAGTAAATTAAGATAATGTTGAATCACAGGCTCCGTTGGAATTCCTAAAGAATCAATATTTCATACACATAACAAAAAACAGTCATTAAAACATTACAATAAATTCATATAATAGGTTTTGGATATTGGATAGTCAGTCCAAATCCCACACCGAGTAGTCTCTAGTTGCTCTGGTCATGACATGTCAACGCTGTATGAAATCGCTAGGAGTTGTGGCAATAAAGACATTTCGGTCGACGTCGCGTCGTAAACTCTACAGCTTTGACCTTGTAGTATGACACCAAAAACAGTATAATGACCTTTATCATTAAACTTCAAATTCCCCCATCCAGCACTACGCCAACGCTCATGACATAACAAAAATAACAGAGCAACCATATCGGCAAACTCGCACACATACATAATCATAAACAAAATAAACCTTTCGCAGGAAAGATTGCCGGTCACAGAAGACCTGATCCCGGTCTACAATCTGTGTTTTTCTAAAGATGTGAGCGACTTCCGGGATAGGATCGTGCCAATGTTGAACGAAAAGTCTTTTCGTTCAACAATGGCACGATCCTATTTCTGAAGTCCCTCGCATCTTAAAAAAAACATAGATTGTAAATTGACTATCGACTAAACGAATTGATTAGCAATATCGACAAGATGGCTCTTTTCAAAGACACAAAAAAACGGTACATAAAATAATTATCTCTGCGTATGTCAGTTCTGAACTTTAGCCAGCCTCTGCTACGTCAAATCGACATATTAAATATATCGTTATCAAATATCAATATCAAATATAGCACAGTACATATTCGAAACAAGTCACCCTGCCAAATATTAATAATCATAATCACCCGGTTAAAATAAATAGTAGGAGCATAATGTTAAATATCACATTATAACAAAACAAAGGAACATGTCGTGGCAAAACATTAGTATCAAATAATTAAGTCTCAATGCCAAGTGCAATATGTAACAATCAACCACCTAACGTACGTCACTCGCCCCCAGATGAAGCACGCTGTAAATACACAGTAACATAATCAGGCAAACAAAAGCGAAATGTGCTGCAATAAATTCAATTATAAATTAAAATGTAGTTCTGCATACTTGTATTGAATATCGCCCATAAGGGAACATACTGTATTTAAATATAAATAAAAACACGTAAATCGGTCAGTAATTCATGTTGCCAGCGCTTGGAACAAAGAAGTAGGTACTGTAAATTGGAAAACAACATTATGTTGAATCTATGCATTTAATTCAAAGTATGACCAGTATAATTAAAAAGTGCAAGTTGTATTTAGAAAGTGTTATAAATGGCAATAATCATGCTGTACGAGAATAAAATTAGAATGGCAAAAAATCGAACACGATCATATCATTAACAGATGGATGTAATAGACGTAGAGATAAAAAAAACGAGTACATCACCTTTGTAATTATCGAAGGTGCACTCACTAATCGAAACGTAAAAATTTACTTCTGCTCTCAACAAAAGCACAAATACCTCTGCCTAAATCTCCCCATTTTAAACAAATCCTAGACGAAAAATTGTTAATATCGACCGTGCTCCGAGACGTTGGGTCGATAGGGATCATTAAGTTCCCTGGCATAGCGCTATATTTAACACTTTTATTGTAAATTATGACCCATTTCAATGTAGAGCGAGAAAAAAAACACGTGTTCCACGGAAACGAAACAAAGCGCGATCTTTACTTTTTTTCGTCGCGCCAGGGTCGGTTTCGGGAATATTTAAATCGAATTTTAGCGGGAAAATTCGGTTCCATTACAATACCGATCATGCGCACTGAGTTGTCACTACAATTGACATTCCCGCCATTTCAGTGGAGTGTTATTTACGTAGAACATAATGGAGTTTACGATGTTATTGCAGTAGAAAGTACGAGTAGTTTTTACGAAAGCAATAATTAAAATAATGTGTTTAATTTGTAGTGACATAGGGTTGTGATAATCCACCCTTATGGTTAGGCAACACACCTTTACATCTGAAACAAAAATATGAAATGCTCTGTATATAACCAATCGACCGTTTTGCGCAGATGCCGAATACTAGGGGATTTTCGTAACGCAGCTAGGGGAAAAAAGAGTCGGCACTTCTTAAACGTACCATAGATTAACTTCAGGGTTCAAATTCAAGAGATTTTGCATATTGTAGGGGCAATTAGGAATGTTTATTTGGCGTTGCTCCACGTTGCCTTTTTCTCCAGATCCCCCCCCCCCCCCAATATTTATCGTCCAGTTGTTGTAATGGGTGCAACTGATTTCAATTACAGGTGCATGCTTTTTGACCCACGAAAGATGCGACCGTGTTCCTTCCCCTATCGAGTGTACAAGGCTGTCGATGGTAATCGGCGGTCGATACGGAAACGGCGGCCCATGGAAGATGCAACAGTTATATCTTCCCTTATCGAGTGCACAAGGTGGTGGATGGTGGCAAATGCAAGCACGTATGTAAGGGGAGGGTTCACAGGGTTTAAACCCTCTCCTTATATGAACCGAGAGAGATCAGTAGCAAATTGCCAAATCACTATAAAAATAAATGCCCTCGTTTTAACTCACGAACTGCAATTTTTTATAATGTAAAACATATCATGAACTCGTGTTTTTTCCTGTTCCCGTTTCTGTGGGAATTTCGGAAAGTGTTTTACTATAACTCATCAAACACTTTCGCGGGCGTTACGTCCAACCATTCCTCACAGTTTCATCACAATCAGATGAACGGTTTAGACAGGCATAAAGACAGACAGACAAACCTTCATTTTTATTTATATACAATTATGGATAATAGCAGATCCGATGAACGTTGTATCGCTTTCCCAGCGAACCTTATATTAGGGACATTGACATTGCCTAAAATTTTCATATAATGCCATTACAGTGTGCACATTTTAAATCCCTTGAGGTTTTGTTAAGTCCCGTTTCAGGATATGGTGTTGCAAAATCACACTGTGCACATTTTAAATATTTGAAATTATTGTGAGATTTGCATACTCTACGTTGTACGATTGTAGTTCGTTGTATAATCACATTGTGCACATTTTAAATCCTTTAAAGACTTGTGTCCTCAGAAGTGTCGTTTCAGAATAGATTGAAAATTTGTTGCAAAATTACAGTGTGCACACTTTAAATATTTTGAAGTATTCAACAAATCAAAAATCATGAAAATCTGTCTGGCCGTTCTTGAGTTATAAGTGGTGTTTTATATACCTATAAAGATTTTAAAATTGACCATGAGTGGGGAGGGGGGGGGGGTTAAACGTAATCCCCTCCCATACCGACTGTATACCTACGTGCTTGGGCAAAGGCGGCCCATGGAGGATGCCACAGTTTTTCGTTCTCTTATCGCATATACAAGGCTGTCGATGGTAATCGGCGGTCGATACGCAAAAGGTGGCCTATGAAAGATGCGACAGTTGTTCCTTCCCCTATCGAGTGTACAAGGCTGTCAATAGTAGATACGAACAAAGTGGTCGATGCGGTAATATCTTAGCACCCTCTCAGTATTTATTAATTTCATGCTCGTAGCTGAGGGTCCGTAAAAAAAGTAGTCACTACAAAAATAAAACTTGTCAACGAAAAATGTGCGTACTGTAGGCAAAAAAAAACAATGTACAGTCACTTCCGGTTTTACCTGAAACGACCAGAATTTTGTAATGTAGTATTTAAAATATGACCTTTATTTCAATGATAGTTGCAGTGTACACACAAAGACGTCATTTTCACAACAAACTACTACCTATTTGTAAATAGTTTGTTTAATCCAATCTAGATAACCGGATACTTTTGTATAGACAGCAGGATAATCGGTTCCACAAGGATAACCAAAGGAAACCAAGCCAACACCATCCCACTGATTCTTAACGGATAACATTAACGGACCTCCGCTATCACCTTGGCAAGTAAAACCTTCAAGTTCCTCTGACACGCACAAATGGTTAGCGGTGATCACCTTGCTGCTATGATTAAAAAGTATAGTACACGTGTCTAGAGGAAGTAAATGCGCCGAAATCTTCTTTTTTACTTTGGTCGTTTCTCCCTCGTACGTCGTGAGTCCCCAACCGCACGAAGCCAGTCGCACTCCGTGTTTTAAATCTTGGTTGGCCGCCTCCGGAAGACATATTGGACGTATGAACTCTACAAATTGCCCGATGCCAATCGAACCAATTGCGATATCTGTACTTACCTGAATAGTTTATCTCTCTGGAGAGGCGGATCAGTCCAATATCGTTTTCACCGGACCGGGGGCGATATCCTGGATGCGCGGACAGCTTTTCCACACCGACTTCCTCAACCGGATCGCTACATTCTACACCGTATCGAGTCCCATTAACGCAATCCTTATCTGTCGTTACATCATAGTCACCTAACCGGATCCCTGTTCTAATATCAACCCAATTCACTAATTGACCATTTCTTATACTCACAATCGGGAATAGCGGGATATCAGACAGTGTGCGGCCGTCAGTACGTAGCGATGGTTAATCAAAGATCCGGCACATTTCACGGTATTATCCTTGTACACCAACTGCGCAATCCATGGAAATTCGTCAAGGGAAATTCCGGGGTTGTCCCGCACGTAATCGTCTGAGTGTTGGAGCCCGCAGTACGCCCGTGATGGTAACAGATCGGTTTCTGATAGTGTCTGCACTAAACAAAATAGTGAAGACTTCAACCTTGATTCAAAGCAAAATTTTACCAGTTATGTCTAATACGACCCATACGACAAGCGCTTTGAGAGACATCTCGGTGATTAATTCGTTGATGCTGCTTAATTTCGAATTTATAAGAACGTAATAGTAACCTTGACAAGACCGGTTCATTTGAGATAATTCGCGGATTGGTTTTTATGACTATAATCGGGAAACTCGGTTACGTTGTGCAAATTCGCGATATTCCTAGTGCGGTCTTTCCGCAAACGTTGCACTTTTTCTTATTAATTTTTCCCTCGGGGCATGGCAAGTAACTAACAAGATCGAATGTGAAAAACTCTCTCTGTAACTACCGGTAAATCTCCTCCGTTTATCTATTAATTACGTTTTGCATTTCCGGCAAAAGAAAAATTCTACAGGGTGTCCAAGATAAGAATGCATTCGGTTAAATTAGAAAAAAATTGCGTAAGAAAATGATGTTTTAAAAAACCCGGAAATTCCGATCATTTCCGAAGATATTCGAAAAAACCCGAAATGAACCATATTCGTTTTTGTTTGTTTCCTGGCCCTGTCTAAAAAGAAATAATACTTCCTCAAGGTCTACAAGATGTTACCCACAGATTTTCATTGCGACGTTTCGTCTTTGAGAAACCATCAGCAACTTCATATTTTTATATTATGGACCGGAAAAAAAAGTACATACTGTATGAAGTAGCTCTTTTTATTATGATGGCGCAATACGATTATTTACTAGGTATGTTATTTAAAGGAACCAAAAATGAATTATTTTGACATGTCATCGCTTACTATATACCGAAATGTTAAAAATTTAATAACAATCAATTTTTAACATTTTGATGTGGTAGGCTTTGTTTTTTATAATCCAGTGATTCATTATACCATGTGTGTTTAGATAGTTTGGTGCTAGTAAGTGAGGAGGCGACAGCAATCAACGATGCTAATAAATGGCGGCTGTCAAACTATTGTTTTTACGTGATTGGTTTATTAATAATTTGATTAAAATGTATATTACATTTAATTGAAAAACAAGTAAAAAGGTTTTCGCCCTAAGGTGAGTAACTTTAGCGCATTTTCTATGTATTGATCAGTACTTCCCAAAAGGCGATAGCTATGTACCGGGTGATCCAATAAGACCTGTTCCTTGGCCATATCTCGAGAACCGTTCGTCGTATGACTTAGGGATAAAAAAATTTTGGGTCAATCGGTTATGAAGAATCAAGTTCTAAAAATGACCACCAGAGGGCGTAACTGCCATCTTAAATTTTAAAATTGCATTTTATTTAAATTGCTCATAATAAACTAAACTTTCTTTTTTCATATTTTGAAAGAGAACCAGTTTATCTATCATTTTCGTAAAAACAAAAACTCAGTTATTTCAAAAACAAAGATGGTGTCGGGCGTTCAATTGTTTTTGCAATAACTGGCTTTAACTTCTTAACCGTTTGACCGAATGTAAAAAATTTGGTATCGTTGAAAAGAGCATTCCTTGGGCAATAAGAATCAACCAAAATATAGTTAACTTAGTTGAATCCTTCTCCGCCAGGAAAAAAAATCAAATGGAATGATATGACTTTTTCTTTATGAAAAAGTAGCCAAATAACACCCAAAGAGGCCAGTGAAACCCGTTTTTCAAAATCTCGTTCCTAACCTCAAATATTGGGAAAATGAGATTAATTAATTAATTAATTAAAATGCTTAAATTGTATCTTATTTGACGTATTTCCGGTATTTGTCGATGGCGCGAAAGATTGTTTGGAAAAGGACCCTACACTTTTAGGTAGGCCTTGGAAAATTAAACAAATGAAACACGATGCATTATAAAATAATAACAGCCGTAATTTGTAAATTATTCTGCTGTGTTTACGCATTCAGAAAGTGCAGTTTTTTGAATTTGTAATCTTTTCTAAAATGCCGATTTCTAACCAAGAAGCATTTAATATGCTGGCGGCGATGGTTCGTGGTCGATTCGGATAACGCAAATAGAAGATGCGGGCAGCGATGGTCGCATTTTGAAAATACTCAAAATATATCGCCAGCATATTAAATGCTTCTTGGTTAGAAATCGGCATTTTAGAAAAGATTACAAATTCAAAAAATTGCACTTTCTGAATGTAAACACAGCAGAATAATTTACAAATTACGGCTGTTATTATTTTATAATGCATCGTGTTTCATTTGTTTAATTTTCCAAAGCCTACCTAAAAGTGTAGGGTGCTTTTACCGCGCCAACAAATACCGCAAATACGTAAATTTAAGATACAATTTAAGCATTTTTATTAATTAATTAATTAATCTCATTTTCCCAATATTTGAGGTTAGGAACGAGATTTTGAAAAACGGTTTTCACTGGCCTCTTTGGATGTTATTTGGCTACTTTTTCATAAAGAAAAAGTCATATCATTCCATTTGATTTTTTTGATTTCTTTAGGATTTTGGGTCATAGTGTCAAAACTAGCCCCCTGGCGGAGAAGGATTCAACTAAATTAACTATATTTTGGTTGATTCTCATTGCCCAAGGAATGCTCTTTTCAACCATACCAAATTTGTTAAAATCGGTCAAACGGTTAAGAAGTTAAAGCAGGTTATTGCAAAAACAATTGAACGCCCCACACCATCTTTGTTTTTTAAATAACTGAGTTTTTGTTTTTACGAAAATGATAGATAAATACTACTGGTTCTCTTTAAAAATGTGGAAAAATTTTTTTTTGTTTATTATGCGGAATTGAAAGAAAATGCAACTTTAAAATGGTAGTACGCCCTCTGTTTGTCATTTTTAAAACTTGAAAATATTTTACAGTGATGACCGATTTACCCAATAATTTTTTTACCCCTAATTGATATGACGAACGGTTCTCGAGATATGGCCGAGGAACAGTCTTATTGGGTCACCCGGTACGCTGTGTGTTTTTTACTAGAGGCAAAGATTAAAATTTCAATGAAATATCTTCATAAATAAGGAAGTTGGCACTGTCTGCGCATGAGCACATCTAATGTTTGCAATATCAGATATGTTTGCCTTTAACAGAAACATATTCTGTGATTAATATTTCAAAAAGATATCTCGATAAAAAAGACAGTTGATATTACGCATTCTGCGCATGCGTACATTAATCTGATGTTTACAACATGAGATACGTTTGCTTTTTTCTAAAAGTATCTTTGGTAAAAAATACCTACATAAATAAGAAAGATGGCATTGCGCAGTCTGCGCATGCGCAGCTTAATCGTTAAGATTTTCCTTGGCTCTGGTGCCAGAGCTATACGCTACAGAATGCAAAAAGAACGAACTATACCGCATTCATTATAAGAAGGTAGTAGATGGCGCTGTGTTTAAAGATAGACACACACAGGATAAATATAAAACGGCACCAAATTTGAAAAATATGAATATAAATCAAAAGATTTCATGTTTGGATCATTGAAATTGACATCTAATGTCAGTTCGACAGTTTAGTTCGTAACCGAAACTACTAACTTAACAAAATTGGTCACACATTTTATTTGTCGGCGCACGATACACTTATAACGGTATGCTCTTGCGCATCTAGCGTGACGTCATGTGCGAACAAAACCAGAGAATATAGAGCAAAATTACGCTTCTTAGATCGACAAATCACACTGATTTTGTGTAGAGATCGTCGCGGCGGGTATTTCTGGGATTTGGTGATCGTATGAAATAAACTCGAATCAAAAATATTGGCCCTAAACATGAAGTGCGGCTTTTTCAGTAAATATTATGTAATTAATGCTTTATTAAAAGATCGAATTTCTCTTCCGTTTCCCTTTTATTTTGATATTCATTTTACGTGGTAGTTTTAAAGTAGGTAAAGCATCAGGTTTTCAAATGTCCGCTGTTTTTAAAAGTAGGTTTAATTAAGAAATCGTTCCCTTAGCGGTGCTTCAAAACGGCTGGCTTCAACATGTTCAGAGCAAATACAGGTTATAGAATTAAACAGCAATGGAAAGACTTAAATACACCACTTAATATTAATGTAACACCATTTTTCAAGTTAATTTTGTCCTTACGACGACTTGCAACAATCCATTTTTGAGAAAAGTTTTCAATTTTCCGAAATCGAAAGTATTTTATTTCCGTTCCTTTTGTTTTTCTATTAGAATTGCCCCATTGAGCCACTACAGAACCTGGCATTTTGGAAATTTCACTAATGATTAATTATTAGCTATCAACAAATTAACGGTAAACCTCGTAGATACAAGATACAACTTATAAGTTGCAAAACTGTCACGCGTGACATGTGTACTACTAGATCGGCCCTGGCGTAAACATTTGAATTTTGGCGCCACATGTTCGCAGGTGACGTAATGCGCAGTAGAAAACGCGTTTGAGAAAAATAATGAGCATACCGTGTGTAAGTGTATCGTGTGTCGGCGTAATACAGACTCGTGGTTTAACCAATCACAGTGAAGGACAAAGCTTCCCTATGATTTCTACCGCTACCTTCTTAAAATGAATGAAGTATAAATATCTTTAAAACTGTAGGAGTGGTTAAGGCATCGGACAGACGGACGGGCAGAGGAAGTGGCTGCAATAGCGCACCCAACTTCGTTGGAAAATGCGCTAATCAACAGGTTTCTTGTACTTAGAGCAGGCATAAACTGACCTTCGATTATAGTTTGCAATATATTTCTCTTTTCTTTTTAACGGTTCATATTCTCCATTACAAGCATAATTATTGTTCACGGTATATTTTGTTGAAAGATCCTCGTAACTTTTGAATAGATGGTTCCATCTATAGTTTGAACCACGCAATTTTAGCGTGCAGTGCATTTCGATTTTTATTTCCTTTCAGTCGAGACCCGCAGTGGGTGACAGTTTATTAATCAACAGCTGACGCGTTAGTTCGTATGGAATTTTAAATGTCATCATTCATATGTTATTCATCTCTGACAATTGGATTCGTTAAAGTCAGGATTCTGGAATAATTAATGAACGGATGCGCCCAAAAACTCCAATAGGGAGGATATAATTGGGTTTTTCTTCATTATCGTAAATACGCCACTTGCGAAAATTTTCCATCGACGATTGTTGCTTTATCTATAATTATCCCTCTCATTTAAGACGTATGTATATTTTAGTTTCTCAAGAAAGAGGGGGTTACCTTTGATTTTCTTTTAGGGTTTTAATTTTAGGGTTCAAGTTCTATTTTAATTGTTACCAGTTTAACGGACCAGTACGATTTCTATTGAATTCAACTGTAAGGACCAGCTTTCGGAGACGTTTTACCCATAATTCTGTCGACGTACGAGTTTGAAGTTGATAACTTTGGATTAAACTGACCAGTGTGAGTGCCACTAATACCTTTGACATATTTTCTGCACCTGCTGATAACGAGCGGCCATTTTTTAAAATTGGGTCACCGGGTCCGGAACGAGACTTGATATCGGTATTCGTTCCTTCAACCAAGAGAGACAACTTCCGTAACCTTTTAGCGTATTAGTATTAACTATTCTGAGTACCCTCTTC